GATGACATAAAGTTTTCTCTATTCCTACACCAAGATCAGCTGCTGGAGCCTGGGAAATCACTCTGGTCAGTTTGAGTCTGGCCCTTGGAGGGGCATCTGGGCTGAGGAAAAGGTTTTATGGGATAACACAACCCTGGAACGAGCTGGCAGAGCACTGAGGAAACTTGCTGCAAATTCTCATTGCTTGTGCACTTGGCATCCATGAAAATGATGGTGTAAAAGACATCAAGGAAGAAAAACTGTTGTTATTAGCAGATAGCAAGGCCATCAGTCTGATTAATCTGCTATTAACAGCCTGCCTGTCCAGAGGGGCTCAGCTGTGCCTGAGGACAAGGAGATGGGCAAACAGGGATGGACATGGCTGCTGCTTCTGCTGTCTGCTGGCACTTGGGATGGGATGGATCAGGATGGGATAGAATAACATCACTACTCTCCATTCCAAGGTAGAAAAGGCACTTGTGAAATGACTGGGGTTATTTCACATGAATCATCTCACATTTCTCCTTTTAAGAACTGTAAATTCCTGGTATAAGCAAAAAAAAAAATCATTTAAATATTTATGAGACCAAAGGAAAAAAAAAAAAAAAAGAAAGGAATGCAAAATGAAAATTTAGACATTTAATTCATTTGGATGAAAATGAGTTGTGCAGTTCCAATTTTTCAGCTGACTGGGGCCCCAATTAATATTTTTTTCCTATGCAGAATGTAAAATCCTGTTGTTATGTTATGGGATATGAAAAAAAAGAATGTTATTGTTATGAGATTGGAAAAAAAAATATCTTTCTCCCTTTCACTGTTAATGAGGCACAAAAAATAACAAACCTTCACTGTGCAAGACCCTTTGCTATTCTGCACTTGGTGCTTTTCCCCTATCTCCTGCCTCTCCCCTCATCACTAATAGTCCTGTAAATATGCAAAGTATTGCACAAAGAGAGAAAGGAGATGTGCCTTCGAGATAACACAACATATTTGCAACTTTAGGCGAAGAGGCATTCGGGTTCTGAACCTCTGCTAATGAGAACAACCTTGTGCTTAGCGGGAATGTTAATCAATCAGACACACAGAGTATTAATGATGTTCTTTTGCCTAATTAGATTAGCAAAACACGAGTACAGCCACTTCGTTTTTTCCCTTCCAGCTCTCCGACTTGTGCTCCCAAGGAGCACCACCCATCTGGCTCCGGGATGCTCTGGAGGGAGGTATTTCCCCAGGCACCGCAGGAAAAGGGAGCAGCTGAGTCCTGCCTATGCCCACAGCTCCCCGTTCTCACCCCGGGGACGGGCAGGAGAGCATCGTGGGAATGATGCTGGAAGATTTCTAGTTCTCCCTACAGCTTTTGTATTTTTTGAAGCTGAAGGCAGAGGTTTAGCAGCTCGTCCGTCTGCTCTGGGCTGCAGCAGGGAACCCCCAAGTCCCCGAGCCCCAGAACACACAGAGCTGGAGCACGTTGTTCAGTGGAGCTCAGGGAGGACCAGATGCTCTCCTGTGTTCACAGGACTCACAGAGAATCTAAAACCCAACTGGGCATTCCCATGAGCCCTCCCACGTGGAGCTACCGGGATCTCCATGATAACAAAATAAGAGAGCTATGGAAAAATGAGATGAGCCTTATCTCTGAGAGAAGAGCATCATAAGATTTAGAGCAAGACAAGAAGCAGATAAGATGACAGAAACACTCACAGGTCCCCTGACCTGCAAAGTGTGAGATCCCTGAAAAACACTGATAAACTGTCCTGAGTGTTCATCAGTTTTCCTCCTGGTTATCTGATTTATGCAAATGCAGGTAACACACTGCTCAGCTCCCAGCATAGAGAAAATGAAAGACAGGCACTGAAATGTGTTAATGAGGGAATATTCTTAGAGCAGATCCAAATGAAGTGTTAAAAGGATTGTGTGAAACTAAATGATCTTCCCACCTTGCTGGTGGGGAATTGGAATTATCATGTGGAAAAAAAAAGGGGGGGAAATAAAGTTTTAACATATTGTTAAAGGAAGATGAACCATACCTCAGAAGGCCCCAGACTGAGCTTCTTTAGCAGCTTGGGCTGTTTCTCAGAAGAAGCACAGGGAGCAGAAAGTGTTTAAGAAGTAAGTTAGATGGACAACCCCCAATTGATCCTGTCCGATGTTAAAAAGCACAAATCCATCTCTTTTTTTGGTGCATCAAGCTACACTCTATTGCATTTTTATTTTTTTTCTCCCAGAATAAAACAAAAAGCAATGTCTGCATGTCCCAACAAAAAATCCACTGCCAACCCATCCTTGGGAATGAAGGCATGCAAAGATGACGGGCACTTTTTCTATTAAAAATATTTTTCATAGCTGCTGCTTAGGGGATAACTAAGCAGTTGGAACTGTCACAGGTTGCCCAGAGAAGCTGTGGCTGCCTCATCCCTGGAAGTGTTCAAGGCCAGGTTGGACGAGGCTTGGAGCAACCTGGGATAGTGGAAGGTGTCCCTGCCTGTGGAAGGGGGATTGGAACTGGGTGATCTTTAAGGTTCCTTCAAACACAAACCATTCCACGGTTCCATTCTATGAACTACTGGGCAGATTTTATCTGTAATGCCATAGAGGCTCGGATAGCTCATAATTTTTAATTCTTACCCCTCCCAAGGTGGAAGGCTTTATCTGTGATTTCATCAACTTTCAGAGCATTGCTCCACTTGGAACAGATTTTATATTTTTGAACCAGATAGCTAGAATAGTAAGAGATCACATTTTTCTTATTAGTTTGAACCAGGACACATTAGTATGTTGAACACTCGTGTCTAGAGCTACAGTTTCTATAGTTACTAATGCATCAATGTTTCACTGAACTACTGCAATATTCATTTTATAGCAGCTCTGCTTTCCCCTTACTAGAAAGGGAGGTTTGTAAAGGGAATTTTTGGTGAGTTCATCCTGTTGTATGTACTTTTAAGAGCTTTCTCAGGACTCTCTTAACTGACACAGTGTTACCAGGTAATGAAGCAGGAGAGATGTAATACAACAGAAAATTTTAATTTAGTGTGAGATTTGTTCTTCTGTGTGTCTCTAGGAAATTGGACAGCAGGTCCCTGGCTGGAGCAGACATGCAGAACCTCATTAGAAGGGGCAGAATGGTCTCATTTTCATCTTCTAAAATTGCTGCTTGCAGGTCAATATGAACACTTGAGGGAAGACAAGAAAATTTTAGCATTTATTCTGTTCCAGAGGAAATTATTTTGGCCACAGAAAATGCCATCACATTCTGCTCCCTCAAATCCCCTAGAAGTGTTTGATAGAAATCCAGTTCTTCTCCTGCAACAGAGCCACAGCCACTCCACACACACCTCCTGACCCCCAAGTTCACTGAGGTGAGGCTGCTCAGGTTGGTAAAACACACACCTTTCCCTTAACCTGCCACTCTTCTATTTTTTGCTGTTTGATTTTAAAGCAAGCCAGAGAAGTTATTAACTATAAGCCTGACTCAGAGCCCATTGGGCTCAGTATAAGGTTTTCCACTGAGTTCAGCTGGGCAAGAGCACCTGGGGTTATTCCTGTGCCCCAAAGCAAGCATCCTTCATAACTTAAGGAGAACACAGGTAGGCTTTTCTCAGACTGAGGTGAAAGGATCAGGCTAATAGCAACCCAAATTATCACATTTGGGTAAGAAAAACTGCCTTTTGCGTGACAGCTCAGAGTCCTCCACCCCTGCTTGGGAAGGGAATGCATCAAATGATCAGCTTTTGTAGAAATAATGCAGCTGCTCTGTTTAACCCTCACCTGTTGCATAGCTTTGTGACCACAAATGGTGCCTACTTTCCCTAGAAAAACGATACTAAAAGTTTAGTTTGGACCTTATTTGGATCTTATAAAACATATTTGTGGCTTTGCTGTCACAAACCTGGAATCCAGTGCAGTGATTTGACTTTTTTGTCCTTTCTATAAAGCACCAAGGACTTGCTCTCACCAGCACTCTGAGGTTCTGGACATGCCATCGTGCTGCTGTCTCCATTGCCATCTAGTGGCACCATCCCCAGTCCCACCCGGCCCTGCACAAAGCCCTGACCCACAGCCATGGGCTGTGGTCAGGAACAGGGTCTGGGTCCCTGGAAAAAAGGTTCGTTCTTTCGATGAAATCAAACTGTGCCAATCAGGTTTTGTTTGGGGTTTTTTTGTTTCTTTTTGCTTCTTGTATTATATTAAACTAACTATAAAAAGTGAATTATCAGTATTTGCTCCCATTCCTGTCTGCAGGGCTGGGGGTAAGGGAGGCTGAAGGGTGCAGCTGATGGGACAGGGAGGCATCGAGGCTCCTCTGCACACCCGGGCGCAGGAGAGACCACGGCAGCAGGAGAAGGGTAGGAAGCTCTGCAAAACCATCTACATATAATTCAGAGCTTTCATTTGTTGGCATTTTAAAACCTCCAGGAAGCTTCCAAACAAACTCCTCACCAGGGAAGACCGGCTCATTGACTGCCTGAGATTTAGTCTACAGTAAATAATGATCAGTTGCTCCTGTTTTCCCTCCCTCTGGGCACTCATTTGTTTTACTTCCCCGCAGTGTCTCCTCAACACCAACCACTGTTTGTTTGTGTTCTTTAACCGTGTGAATTGCCCTCAGCAAACCACAGGTGACACAGAACTTTGACCTCATTTACCCAGTGCAGGTCTGGCAGAAACTCCATGGCTTTAATGGGGTCGATCAGTGGATGAAGGAGGGAAATGAAAGTTCTTCTTCCCCCACAACCACAAAATTCCTTTTGCCCTCCAAAGCAATTACCTTCTGTTCTCAGGAGAAGAGGGTAAGTCAGAGACAGACACCAACCCGCAGGGTCTCAATGTCACCTGGTGCCTGCAGCTTCTGCATCCATGAGGGGTTTTATTAACACTACGATTTAAACACTAACCTGAGTTCAAACTCTTCTCCTTGCAGGCACTATGATGACCTGCAGCAAAGCCTGGCACCATAGATACACCCCTGCCAAGAACAGCAGCTGGGAAAGGGTGACAGCTGATGAAAAACACACACACACAAATACCTGTGAAATACTGATTGTATTTCTATGCTTTTATAGCAACATAATACTTTAAATGAACTGGGAAACATACTGCCAAATTTTTTAAGTTACCTGTACACCTAAACAACCTGTTTATGGTTGCTGCCTTGTTGCTGCTTACTAAAATTCATGACTTACTAGTCCCACAGCAACATAATAAATGCCCAGAATCCCACAAGCTTTTGTTTTGCTCTGGAAACAACACACTCAGATAAAGCTCATTTTATAAACACTAAAATTGCATTGCAATATCCGTACATATATATTAAGAAAACCTTCTACCTTTCATAAATACATCATCCACAAAATATGTTCCCAAAATACATTCATGCATTTCCCCCATCTAAGGTCCCTGCTTGTACCCAAAGTGTCTAAGGTGGAAAGGGCAAGGCCTGGAGAGAGGCTCGTGTTTGCAGGTGGCTCCAAACCCACGTGGAGGTTGTGAAGAAGCCTGTGGTGTTTGGGTGGTGTTGGGGTTAATTCCTGCATCAGTGGGTCTAATCCTGCCTCCCTGGTAAAACAGGGCTCCCCTGCACACTGTGCCCCATCAAAGCTGCACCAGGTGCCAAAAGCCACCTTCCATCTCACCCTTAGCACTTTCAGTTTTTCCAGCAGTTACTGGAGATGATAACATCATGGAATCACAGAATGGTTTGGGTTGGAAGGGACCTTAAAGATCTTGTTCCAATCCCCTGCTGTGGGCAGGGACACCTTCCACTAGACCAGGTTGTTCCAAGCGCTGTTTAACCCGGCCTTGAGCACTTACAAGGATGGGGCAGGGATGCTCAGGGGATGGTTTGGAAGTGGGAATGTCACTACCTGGCTTGGGTGGAAGGGAATCTTGGAATGGAAGAAGCTATTTTCTTGACCACCATCGACCTGAAGATGGACCACACTCCCAGAGCTGCCATCCCTGCCTGCAACGGGAACAGCTTCACCGCTGCTCTGAGAGCCAGTCCTTTGCTAACAAAGGAAGAAAATGCCCATCCTGTGTCTGTTTATGAAAGCATAAATACACAAAATATACAAAAACATTTACAAACTAATTCTAAGTAGGAGCTGGCACAAAAAAAAAAAAAAAAAAAAAAGCACCAGTTTTGCAGCTCGGTAATGTAGGTCTGGTCTCCTGTGAACCTGGCCACAGCCTCCCCTGGAGATGTAACCAGATCATGTGGCTGTGCAAATACAGGCAGACCAAGCACTAACCTTGGGAAGCCAGACATAAAGATGCCCAAATTCTACTTCTGCCCCACAGAAAGCTCCTGGTCACTACTGCAAGTGCACATTCAAAGGTCACTTTGGGAACGCTGCCCTCTCTACTTGCAAGTAGGCCAGTTACAAGTCAGCATCCCCTTCCCACGAGGCAGTCCTATCCCTTAAGGTAGTGGTCTAGAGGCAAACTAAATTCACTCTAACTTTTCCATTTACCCAACCCCAATGTCTTTTCAGAACAACCAAAGAGAAGCATTGCATAGATCTGTATCTCATGTCTTCCCACGCCCAGCAAACAACAAGAAGTTCAAGTTTTGCACAGTACATTACAAAAGGCATCACTTTGAAACAACACAAGAAAGAAAATGAAGTGTCACCACGGTGTAAACCCTGCAATGAGTGAGGCAGTGAGTGTACAGTGCTCGGCAGCTCTGGGGAAGGCTGCCCGTAGTGTCCTGATGGATTTGCTAATCAAATCTCCTCTCAAACCTATCTCCCATCACATGGTAATAGGAACTTGCATAATAAGAGAACCTGCTCCTGGACAAACAGAGACTGCTGTGTCACAGGAAGGAGGAGGACACTGCCAGGGCCGTCTGCTTTGCATACAGCAGTTTAAGGGCCAGTTGTCCTGGCTGCAATGCAGACTGCAGGACAGCAGTGCTCTTTCCAGGCTTGGGAAGTCCCAACAGAAGTTTTGCTACAGTTGGCTTTACAATTGAGATATTAGGGCCCAGATCCTCTGGTGGTTTAAACCCCACATGCTCCATTGGAGTTACTGGTGCTTATTTCCACGAGTGGAGAACACGGTCCTCGCTTGTCACAGACACAGAATTAAGCTATGGTAGCCCTTTCTTTAAATAAAATTAAATAACTGCATATGGCACCAGCGCACGATTTTCAGTGTGCTTCTGCCATCGAGGAAACAGCAAAGCACACCAGTGGTTAATTAAATTATTTATCTTCGGCTAAAAAAAAAAAAAAGTTATAATATTACTGTTAATTTAAAAACCCCTGGGGACCGCATAACATCTTCTCATTGTATTTTTGAGGCTGAGAAAGTCACTTGCACGAGTACAGCACTATATATCCTCTTCAGCTGGCAGTGAAGGCTTGTGCTCCTGGAGGTCACCGTTGCCATTTTCGGAAGCATCCGAGCTGCCTGGAGCCGACTCCGGTGGCGGGGGTTTGTAGAGTAAACAGGCGACTATAAAGAAGGTTGTTCCAAGCACCTGCAGCCACAAAGACACCCCATTACTCTCTGCTCCCCACAAAACCTGGTGCCTATCCCACACCTGGAATGAGATTTGCTGACCAGGCTTTGGGGAGGAGGTGATGCTGGGGGCCAGCCTGGGCAGCAGAGCAGCACACAGAGCCAGAGGGGGTAAAAATCTGAAATTAGCCAGCCCCACAGCAATGGGACAATGAGAATTTACCCCACATAGACATCTGGAGCACAGTGCTGCATGAGGCATTTGCTGCAAGGCTTTTGAGAGCCTCTTTATCACAGCAACTGCTAAACACTACTACCTAGGGCAACTGCTTGTTTGGGAGCAGTTAAAATGATGGTTTTCTGCTAATAAATAAAACCCACATAAGCTCTTATTTTCTAGCAGTGGTCGGGGAATGGTTATTTACAACCTGCCCAAAAAGCCATCCCTCACTCTCACTAACACACTGCAGTTATGTCTTTCACTCCATTTCTAGCAAAAATCACTTTGGTTACTGTTTGCAGGAGATATTTCATATGGCGCAAAACAAGCTGTAAACCTAGAAAATAATGGGAATTTAAGAGAATGATGGTGTCTGGAGCACCATTACCTGGTGAGAAGGAAACGGGGCTTTTGACTTCCCTGAGAACATTTCTCATGTAAAAATTTAATTTCGTCTGGGGGAGGCCAGATCAGGGCAACCCAATTTTGTGGAATTCTCTCCCAGAGAAAAATGTTGTCTCCTAAAGACCTGCTTGTTTTATCACCTTGTAGACCAGTCCAGCGATGAGGGTGTATCTGCTCATGGCTGAGTTCTGGTAAACGTAGCAAGAGCCCTGCTCACCACACTGGTCCTGCCAGAGCAGGCAGGATTTATCAATCATGGATCCAAAGGCAATGGGGCCAGGGATGCCTCCTGTGGGAAGAGAGAGTGGAGCTTCAGTCTGGGCAGCACCTACACACCAGTCCTGCAACTCACAAGGTGTTTGCAGAAAAGCATTAGGCTCTGCTGTTACCATGATTAGGAAAACTCATCCTGCAGCACCCAGAGCCACAATCTATCAAAAATACACTGGATTTCCAGATCTGAGAGTCCAGCAGGTCTTTTGACCATCCTGACCTACGTGTTGCACAAGAGCCAAAAGACACACACAGGAGCTTCAATACATCTACTCCTTTTCTTAAAATAAGGACACGTTGCTAGGACATTGCTTCTCTTCCACCTGTGATGTGTCACAGAACCCTCCATTCAGTTTGCAAATCACATGCAAAGGGAATTAGGTATTTCTGAATTACAGTAAACAAAAGAAAGCATCCTCCTTTCATCAGTACATGTCCTACTCCCTTCTTTTCCAACCCGACGTGTTTTATTCTTAGATGACAGCTTGGTACACACTCCACAAAACCAGCAGACCATACCAGTGCTCAAATTCACTCTGCTCCATACCTAGTGTCCGCACCACAATCCACTGGATCCCAAGTGCAAAGGACCTTTGCCTGTCGGAAACACACCTGGGGAACACAAGGGGTTTGTTTAAAAATGCTGCCAGGCTGTCTGGCACCTCCCTGCCCCACAACGCCACATCCCACACACCTGGGACCTCCAACCCCTCTGGAGGCTGAGGATCACCCCAGTGCAATGTGCCCCCACCACTGCTGTAAACACGGCAGAGGATAAAGCTTCCAATGCTAAAATCTGCTTTCCCAGCTAGACTGGGAAGGGATTAGTCCTGATGTCTCCAGGCCGCCAGCCTGGAGGTGAGGTGGTTCCCATCACACCTTCTCCGTGGCTTAAGCAGGATAAAGTGGAGAGGTGGATGCTGAGGCTTCTTGCAGCACTGGCAGAGGCTGAGGCCATCCCATGCTTACCGCAGAGTGGCAGTCAGGGCAGGAATGCTGCTCAGGAAGGTGAAGAGGATGACCACGAACATGAAGCACAGGAGCAAGGGCTTTTTAGCACAGGACGAGGTGCATTTCCCTGCCTCTGCATCGCCAGGGCCGGGCAGGAGGGTTCTGTTGACACAGCTACACTCACGATAGACCTGAAAAAAAAAAGGCTGGTGGGTGTTCTGCCAAGGAGAGCACAGTGATAGTCAAAGCTTTAAAAATCATGAAATTTAGGGAGGGCAGAAAACAGCTGGTTTCACTCCCGGAATGGATGGAAGTGGAAATCAAGCTGCATTCTTGACACACTTCTATTTCAAAGCAAAGCATTAAGTAAGAGAAGTAAACTGTCAGGCAGCCTTTGAATGCAGAATATCATCTCTACCCTTCTTAAGCCTCTGTCTGGCTCTATGAGCAACATGCTGGAAGGATGAGGAGGTACATCATGTTCATTGAAGACCCAAAATAAGCATTAGAACAGGAATTAGGTGCCTATCAAGTTCCCTGCCTGCCTGGGTGATTTACCCTGGATTTCAGCACAGTTTGACCCAGAATGAGGCAAAGATGACTGGATATAATGAGAGAAGCAAAGCAGGGTGACCTCTGGGTACCTTCTGTACCGGAGAGCATCCATCCTGCCCCAGACTTTTACAATAATCTGGAGGAAAGCTCAAACCTGTGGACAGTTTTGCAAAGCCAGCCAAATCACTCCAAAGATGTGCCACCACCTTGTTAATACACAGTGCTTTCAGACATACCTTCTTGCCATTCCTGAGTTTTTCAGACACTTTTTTGCACCCAGCGTGGCAGGCAGAGTAATACATAATGTCATCACTCCCGCAGACAGGGCTGTAGGTGTCCTGCAAACAGCCACACTTGGCGTTGCAGGCTGCTGTCAGGTTGAGGTGCCCACCAGGCAAAGCACTAAGGGAAACACAGGAGCAGTCAGTGAACAGTGTTTTCCAGGAGGAGATGAGCAGAGGAAGAGAAAGAGAAGGGGAGACAGTAGGAGTTGCAATGGATACCCAAGGAGCATAAAGCCAGGCTTGGGAAGGGTTTCGTCTCACCCAGTTTAAACTGTGCCCTGGAGCTGTCTCTTTCCCACAGCTACCAAGGGAGTTTAAGTGACCAGCTCTTAGGGTGACACTTCCATTTGGAGAGAAGATTCCCAGTTTTGGTCCAGTTTATCCCACTGGCTAGAGATGGAGGACACTGTGAAGGCAACTGAAGAGTGGAGTATCTTACATTCTGGTGCTGCTGATCTCCCCTCCCTTACTAACTAGGGAGGCTCTTCTATAAACTCCATCCAGTTGCAAAAATTAGGACATCTATTTTCTGTGTCTCACCCTCAATATCTGCCTGTAGGACTGACTAGACACCAACTTTCATCCCCAACAGATTCACCTGAGACTGCCACCAGCACTGTGTGTTTGGAGTTATCCTTCTATTCTGACCAGGGCCCCACTGCACAGACAGATGGGATGGTTGTTGTTACCTTCCATCGTACATCTGGGTTACTCCTGCCATTGGCATGTTAGGGCAGTGGATAAAAAAAATCAATATCGCCAGCAGACTTGTCACTGTGCAAAGTAAACACAACTTGATGATTCCTGAACAGCGGAGTTTGAATTTATTCACAAGGAATCCTCCCAGGAATGTGCCTCCCCCTCCGGCTGGTACGACCAGATAACCTGGAAAAAAGGGGGAAAAAACCCACAAGCAAGTTTAGAAATGTCAGCAAGGAGTTTTCATGTTTGAATACGTTAATTGCAGTGTGTCTTGCATATAAAGGACCCCTTGGTTGCTGTGTGGTTTCTTGGTGGGAGTTCAGTGGACGTTGCTATAGTAGGTGGTCCTCCTTAACAGCTCAGGTAACGTGGCTTGAGCCTGGTAAAGAGCTCTTCCTAGCCAGAAATCTTAAAACTGACTCTTTCAGGAGCACATAATGAGTCTTGATGCTTGTTGGAGACCACTTCCTTGGTCTGTGTTACAGCAGCTATATGAGGATCCTCCCAGTTTTTGGGTGCTGACAAAATATGTCCCCCAGCTCAGACATCCCTCATTACAGGAAATGTTTAGTCAATGTTTCCTGGTAATGCACTAGGAGGAACACGCTACAATTATTTTGCCTTCCTCTAGAGGGTAACAGATGGCTACAGAAGTGACCACATTTCTTCCTGATGTCAGTAGATACAGCTCTGGAAATGCACTTGGTGGAGATGTGCTGATGAAAATAATCCTATCTAACAGCTGAAGAGGATAACAGCTCTGTAAATGAACTGCAAAGCACCTGTCTCCACTCTAAAGGGACTAAAGTGATCTTGTATTTGTTGGCAAAATGGGAAAGCACTGCAAAAACGTGGTTTCCTTACCAAAAAATGTAGCAGCTTCAGAGGCACTTAAACTAAACTGAGACTCCAGGAATTTGGGTCCAAAGGTGGACATCCCAGCAATGAGGGTGGCTTCGGTTGCTCCTGCCAAGCAGAGGAAGATGAAGGTGGGGTTCTTCAGAAGTAGCAGCACTGCTCTGGGAAGGACAAATATATTGGAATTGAATCACTGTGGCACATTTTGACTTCAGGTCTGTCCCTATCTTTTAAGTCAGAAGGATCACATGTAAGATGAGGCAGCATCCCATTGTGCTGCATCTCTTTGAAAGAAAAAATACCAAAAGGGAGCTAATTGGGGGTTGAAAGAGCAGGGATCTTCTCCACTTATGCTTATCGAGTCCTACCAGCCAAGGAAGGATGCTGAGGGTACCCTCACCTGTCCCTATGCACCTGCACAGGGTAGATGTCACAGTGTGTGATATAATTCACACCCAGGGCACCCACGACTTCCAAAAGGATGATTTCAGCAGTAATTTTCCAGCTTTTAGGGTCAGGCTGAGTATTTTCTATTCTTAAACGAGGCAATAGTGAAAGGACATTACTCCTCACTAAATCTCAACCATTTCAAGGTTTTATTAGGCCCTGATGGCAGGTATCTTGGGACTCCCGACTCAAGAAAGAGCAGGGAACAAAGTAGTGCTACATCCTCACATACACACATTACTCATGTACCCACATCCTCATAAGAATTATAACCTTGGGGGAAATACCAAGCAAGCCTTTCTATATGGAGGAAACACCTCCAAGACACCTTATATCCACTAAAAAGTGGAAAGCAATCCTTATTCCACAATCTAAGCACAGTTTTACTTGAAGCTTAATGTATAAGTTGAGTAAATACATTTTACTTTGACCCACCAGGATTTAGTAGATATGCCATAGATATGCCTGAAAAATTGCCATGTGTAATTTATATGCAGATCCAGCAACAATTCCATCTCTGAGACACAGAAAGGCCCTCAGGCACATGGGATGGTCTCAATTATCTCTCTCTATCTCGGATATTGGACTAAGAGGGCTGACACTGCTTTGCAGGGGATGTTTTGTAACGAGCTTGAAATTCTGCTGCGTGACTTTCCCCAAGCCAAGCTCAGACCGGTGCCACAGGTTATCCTATTTCTGGGATGGGCACAAACCTGGTCATCCTGCAACAATGGCAGCAACAGGGATGCTCACTGAACAGAAAGGAACAGTCATTTACCACTCCTGTTCCAGAGGAGGTGTGAGATCAGAGAAAACCTACTGCAGAACAAGTGAGTGAGAGATGTGTTGAGGCTCAGCCTCAGATTTGTGCAACTTTGCTCACATCAAACGGAGAATTTCGTTACATCGAAAGAACAAATATGCTGAAACACAGGAATACCACACATTCCTACACTTTGATTACGTGGAGCTGAATACTAAACATTGTGTAGCTCTTGGGATTAGTTTAATTTACTAAACTATTTTCCAGATCTTTTCAACTATGCTTAATTTGGAAGCACAAGGCCTAATCTTTTAGTGAAAAAACGCTTGTGGACCCTGTGGCTGATGCAGAAAATGGACAGTGCCTTCCCCTTTTTACAGAAAAGAGTCATTCCCTGGCACTAGTGTGACTTTGTGCCCTTTGCCAGGTTAGACTTGCAGGCAAAAAAATGCAAAGGAACTCCTTTCAGCACTTGAGTAAGAATTTACTGATGTAATTTAATCTGTTTGAAGACAAAAGACATAGTTGTGAGCAGCTATGGTACATAAAACTTTACTAAAGTCAACACAGACCTCTTCATCACTATCAATAGGACTTTAAACACACCCAGAAACCACACAACTCTTGAATAGCCTTGATTGTCCTCAGTTTTTGCAGCCACAGGGATTGCAGGAGGCTCAGCACCTCACAGAGGAGAATCCCATCACGTATAAAAGCTGACTCTCCAAATCTTTACTGATATGGGCACACATAGGAACTCTTTCATCACTTAATGGTTCTCCCGAGTAGGTTGGCACCACCTGTATAACCAGAACCTGCTCCTCTGAGAAACCCTGGCATGCCCAGGACACCTCCTCTCCTGGCACAGCTCTACACGCCTTCTATTTGCGTCCCTCTGCTCTGACAGGAGGGGTTATTCCAGGAGAGCAATCATATGGAACCAGAGAAAGGAAAATGCTATTTTATCAGGGCTTTTCAACCCAAGAGTTAAGACAGAAGTCTCTTCAGGGCAGAGGATTAAACTGCATGGGCTACATTCCTGTAAGCTCCTGCTCTTAGGCAGCACTGTGAGTACAGCAACTCATTAACCTCGCTTAGAAAGGACCTGATGGCATGGAACAGCATTTTATTTCATCAGTATTTCTGCTTATCTTTGAAACTGTTCCTGTCCATGCTGTAAGAAAATGTGTAGCACATGATCCCTTACTAAAACAAAAGGAACAGTGAGTGTTCCTTTGGCCTCACTCTCCAGCCTGGTCCACGTGTCCCCAAGAGCTGCCTGCACAGATGTGATCTTTTTAATGCAAGTTTCCAGAATAGCAAGCCTTTAAGGCACTTCCCTTTTATTAATCAAAACCAGGGACCATAAAAGTCTGTTGGGTTTTTGCTTCCAAATGAAAAGGTCTGGACTGATCTAAATTGTTTGATAAAGGCTGCCCACCTTCAGCTATTTGTTCTTCAGGAACGAGGGGTGAAAGAAGATGCTCCCGAAGGAGGACTATCTCCTTTCCTGCTGTCAGACAGCCTTCACCAAAAAACAGCGGGAGCTTTGTTCCAGAGAAGCAAGAAAAGCATCAACCACTGAATTTCATCCCTCCCTGCTACCCTCTCTGTTTGTGTTGGTTTTAGTCATAACCTTATCATTATTTAAATGCAGGTTCTGAATTTAATTTCCGTGCGGAGAGTAAGCCATGACCTTGGAAAATGGCACCCAGTCAAGAATGCCATTTAATAACAGTATTGAAATCTGTTCAATGTAATATTCTTCATAAAACTGTCTTAACCCCTGGTAAACTTCCTACAAAGTCTCCAAGAATTCCAGACCGATGTGAGTCACTGTGTTGACACAACACAGATCGATTGCTGCTGAAAACTGGTACTGAGCACCTGCTTCCACCCTCCTCTGCCAGCACAACAGCAACACCACAACTACAGCTCAGAAATAATTGTTGGCAGCGGCCTGGGGTTTGGCAACACTGAGTGTTTGCCTTTGCACGGAGCAGCCGTCACACACAGATACAATCTCCTCCCTAAAAACGGTCCTGGGAGAAATACAAAAACGAAAAAGCTCCTTATTGACTGCAAGCTCCAAAAGGAATCGATACCCAGGTGTCTCTGTAACATCCAGAGCCTGAATGCCAGCTAACCCCAAGCTGCAAATAAAGCAGCACCTCTCCCCCTGCCCTCCACTTAAATACAACTCACCACAGAAAAAAAAAAAATCACAAAAGATTTTAAAGATTTATCGCAGAAGTTTCCAGGCTAAAAGACCACATTTTATTTTGGCCACTGGCTTGTTCCCAGTCAGGACTCCTTAAAAGCACCTCCTACCAGACCTTGCTGGGTCCAAGCCTGCTCGTCTGCACCACTCAGCCAAGCAGCAGCTCAGGGATTAAGCAAGTTGCTGTGTCACTGCCTTGCTGGAGAGATAAGAAGTAGTAACACATAAAAGGTGGCTGGAAGATATGAAGGCAAACGGGAAAAAAAAAGGAAACTAAGAATAAAAGAGAAAGGGAACTGAAAGCTACAGTGAGGCATATCTTGTTCCCTGGATTTGGAATGGAGCTGTGAGAATCAGGGGGCCTTGTTTTGTCTTGTTTCTCATTAAAAGGCCAAACAGGGATCTAACATAAGTAAAAATAGAGGAAAAGAAAAAAGCCCCAAGGGGCTGGGGAGGAGGAGATGTTGGAAAACACGCAATTGGGCCAGGTGAGGGCAGCCATAAGCAAACAGGCAGAAAAAATGCTGCTGGGGAGAGGGAATGAGCTGGCAACGCCTGCTCCTCTCCCCTCACCTAAAGTTTGGCATCAAGATACTCTCAGTGAAACTCACTGTGTGGCACAGGACTGCAGGTGGATCTGCACACATGGATGTGAGCTTCTGAAAACCCCAGATGGGACCAGCCCCTTGTCCCCTGCTCTCCCATGGGATCCCCAGCACCAGTTCTAGTTCAGCCCCTTCACCGAGAGCCCCCAGACGCTGACGGGACCAGGCATTTTGGCACCTCCTCTGTAAGAAAGTGTCATCGCTTGAGATGGGCAAAACCTTCGAGCTGGCAGGGCTGAAAGCAAGCTCAACCTGAGCCCATTACTCTCTCTCCTCTGAAGAGGGCTCCCCGAACCTCAGGCATGAGGTGGTTTTCTCACCGAGGTAGATCTTTAACTGTTTTCCCGAAGTCTGGATCCGACGCTTTTTTGTGGCTCCCATCCTTTATCTGATGAGCCTCTGACACCCTCATAACAATATATCGCTGAGATCCTGCAAATGAGAGGCAAACAGGAACAGGGAGCATGTCAGACACGGGATGTGGATGCTACTGAAGCAGAGGATTTGCAGAGGGAAAATGCAACGTGACATCCTCCCTCCACCAACAGCTGCAAGGGAGAAGCAGTAAAAGAGGCAGATGGAAAGCCAAGGCGGTGAAATCATTTTGGGAATTACAACTTAAGCACTGGAAGTTCTTCCTTTATCCCTGTGGCCCCAGCTACACACGTGCACGAGGATGCAAGCCCCAAGGCAGGTGTGAGCAGTGCAGTCCCAGCCCCAGCCCTGGGGAAGCCACGTACCTGGGAGGCGCTGGGGGTACCCCAGGATGGGGATGGAGATGAGGAGGGAGGCTGCTCCGGCCCCGAGGAAGCCGATCCACCACGCCCCCACCCACAGCGTGTTCTCCGGGGAGATGCCGATCCTGTGGGAAGCGAAGCCAGAAGGGCACAAGGGAGAGAGGTGGCGGTTGGAAACAGAGCAGGACAGCTCGGTGTGCCTCTTGTTGAGGCTGGCAGGGGCTGGGGGAACACAGGGTGGGGGTGACAGGGAAGGAAACCGAGCTCTGGCTCCCCTGTGGTGATCTGATGGGGATGCCACATCCACCATCCCTCCTGCCACCCTGCCTCCTGCCTGTCTGACCACTTAATGAGCCCAGGAAATTGTATCATTTAATTCTCATTTCATCTCTGGCTTGTACATTCACCTCACCCCTTTTCATTTGTGCTTTGGGGGCTGCTAAGATCCTTGCTCCACCCTAAACCCACACTTTGCAATAAAACTGGTGCAAATAACCCATTCCTTCCCCTGGAAACCCATTTCCCCTTTTTAATCCATTCATCTGGTCTAATGGAAGGTGTCCCTGCCTATGGCAGAGGGGTTGGAACTAGATAATCGTCAAGGTCCCTTCCAACCTAAACCATTCTATGATTCTGTGATCTGCCAAAGAATCTGTAAGGAAACAAGAATAAATTACAAACACTACAAAGCAAGGAGGGACTAAGCACCCTGGTGGGATGACTGGGAGGACCATCAGCACTGCTGGTAGCACTGCTCATCAGGGAACTCATTCAAAAAATTCACCTGCTGCTCATAGCCTCATTAGCACAGGCAGTGCAGCGTGAAGGAGGATTTAAGCTGACAGGTTTGTCAGCAATTTCCCTCCAGTAGCAGCACTAATGCAAACCACTCTTCCAGCCTCTCCCCCCTGCAGACACATCACTGAACACCCCAGGCAGCCTCCACCCAGCCATCAGGTCATTGTTTCAGATCATTGTTTGTTTGTTTGTTTTTTACCCCAAAGGAAACTTAGAGCATAAAGGGAAAGGAACAAGATTTTTTTTTAACGACTTACTCTCTGCCAATTTCAGTATAAATATTTAGAAACATTCCTCCTACCAGATAACCCGCTGCAGGCCCAAGGATTGCAGCAGTGTAGAAAACAGCTGAAAGGGAAAACAAGCTGTGTTAGAGAACCAGCAGCCTGTCAGCCAGGGATGCTGCAGAGCACTGCTGGTGCCCAGCATCCCCAGCCCAATTTCCTCCTGGATGCAGGATGCTCAGCCCCTGGCCACATCACACCCCTCTCCCTAAACCACTGAGACACAAACACAGATAGTTCTAACAAGTTTTCATCTCATGCTTTTGTCCCAGGGAAACTTTTGCATTCAACCTGGGAATTTTTATAGCAAGGGGCAGGCAAATTTGGTTCAGTGGAAAAGCTTATTTAGCAGGGATGCATCTGACCCTGCTGCCACATCCCAGCTGCTGGCAGGATGAGCAGCACTGTTCTCTCCACACTGATGACACGCAATGTCTACACTAAACATGGCACCACTGGCACTTATTTTGGTTTGCTGTTCAAACAACAACATATGGAAAAATCATCAACTTGCTGATGATCTCCTTGTGATCTCCTTCCCACACTACACAGCCTTCTGATACGACATGGGCAGACTGATAAATTTTGGAATTGCCAAAAGATCACCCTTTTAGCAATTTCACCAAACAGGACTATGGGTATCTGGCAGCTGCTAAGTGAGCAGCGATACAGAGGAGTGAGCTGAGCCTCTGTTCTTGGCTGTGCTTTGCACCAGCAGTGACCAAAGCCCAGTGACCATCCCTGCTCTGCTGTGTCACTAAAGAGGTGATGATCTAAAGATTTAGATTAGATATAAGAAAGGAGTTTTTTACAATGAGGGTGGTAAAACACTGGCACAGGCTGCCCAGACAGGTGGCAGATGCTCCATCCCTGGAAACATTCAAGGTCAGATTGGACAGGGCTCTGAGCAACCTGAACAAGTTGAAGGTGTCCCTGCTTGTTGCAGGGGGTTGGACTAGATGACCTTTAAAGGTCCCTTTGAACCCAAACTATTCTGTGGTTCTGTGTCCCCGTGCACAGATGGGGTATGGCCTCGTGGCTGCCTGCCAGAGATGTTAATGCCATGCACACACCAGGGCATGGCCAGAGGACTCTCCCCAGCTGGCTCCATGCCAGGAGCAGGAGGTACTTCCTGATCCTCAAGGCATGCACTGCAGGGGAAAAATACCCAGCTGTGCTTACAGTTCGTCACAGTAAATAATCCAAACCTCCCCAGCAGCTGCCACGTCCCTCTGATTTCCACCTCGCCCGTTATCAGGAACAAAAGACTGAGCAGTGCCAGGAGAGGTATTCCCACTGTGGGCTGTTGGGTGCTGAGGCAGAGGAACCACCTCTTCCTCCCACCACCCCGCCCATGGGTTCGAGCTGCCCCTCCAGCCCCACTCACCAATGTACACAGGGGAGTAGTTAGTCTTGACGTTTTCATCTAAATAGGTGACGCCGAGCGTGTAGAGCGGCGTGGCTCCCATCCCGTGCAGGAACTGCCCCAGCATGAAGACAAACCTGTAGCCGGAGAGGCTGGAGGCAGCCTGGGAGCACGGCAGGCTCTGGTTGCCCCCGCAGACACCCACCTCGGCCGCCGAGTGTGCCTCGTACTGCGCCGTGGTGAAGTGGGGCAAGGCGAAGAGCAGGGAGCCCAAGCCCATGACCAGCACCCCCCAGCCCAGCCAGCGTGGTTTGTGGCCGTTCCCCCCAAAGTAGCTGACGAAGGTCAGGCAGACACAGGCCGCGATGTCGTAGGAGCTGGCGATCAGCCCGCTCTGGTAGCTGCGGAGGTCAAAGCGGCGCTCGATGGAGGTGATGACGGTGTTGATGAAGCCGTTCACGGTCATGCCTTGCAGGAAGGAGGCCACGCAGAGGAAGAACAAGACGCCCTTGGACGTGTTGCAGAGCTGTAAGCACCCGGGGGTGAAACCCCCCCAGCCACAGGCCAGTTCCTCCCCTTCAGCCGACACGTATTTAATCCCTTCCTCGAACCGGGTCTCCTCCTCTCCCGGGGTGGTGGAGCAGAGGGGTTCAGCACACGAGTCAGAGGGGCTGGGCACAGCGGGGGAGGTGATGCCATTGCTCACTGGGGTGTCACAGGCATCCAGCCCGCTCACAGCACTGAAAGTCCGGCCGGCATCGCCAGGATGAGGAGACGGGTGGGAGAAGTCAAGAGTCTGAGTGAAACAAAAGCCATTTTCTCTGGTGGAATTCTGGGGCATTGCCATGAACAGGAACACAGAATTGAGCAGCAGGTCAAGGTGGGTTGGTGGCCAGGGCAACTTCACAGGGCAGCGAGGACTGGCCTGTCCAGGAGATGCAATTTTCAGAGCTTACATCAGTAGGGAAATGGTGAAGGTCTGAGCCAAGAGCATTCTGATCTCTGGAAAGAGAATTTTTACATACCTTTATATAAAACCATGCTTAAACCCCTAATATTTTTCCTTTTCTTCCCCTTTTTTTTTTAACAAGTATAAGCATTTCCCTGTGCAGTTCACCTGGTCGTGTACTCTCCACCATGAGGTGTGTTGGTACCTCAGGTGTCATTAACATTACAGAAAAGAACAAAACATTCAGGAGCATTAAAAAAAAAGCACCTCTGAGGAAGTCTCCCCAGCAGCTTAAGCCCCCCCTCTCTCCTCTGGTAAAGGCCTGGTTAAACCCCCACAACCTCCATCCCTCTCCTTCCCCCTGCAGAGAGCAGCCCGCACAGCTACATGTTTCCCACTGCTTAAAGTCCTTTGGTCTCTCTCACACTCTGCCAATAACAGTTTATAATTATCCTGAAAAGTTTCCACAGTCAGATTGATTTTATTCCAAGCCCTCAGATCTGTTTACAACTATTCAGTAAAATCCTTTCTACAACTAATTAGACTACATGCCATTTCAGAGGGAGCTGGAGGGCAGAGGCAGCTGACTCTAACCTGATTACTGATGCAGACTGCCTTCTTTCAACCAGTTCCTGTGCATTGCAGCACCTGACTGTGCCAGCAACCAAGAGTATTTCTCCTTAAATACCTTGGCTGAACTATAAATGATGAAATTAATAAGGTTCTCCCTTGAATACTGTGGAAGGTGTTTTGTTAGAGAGCATCTTCAAAGCATCCTGTATTTCCCAATATTTTTTGCCAGCATCTGTTTGAGATGTTCCTATAAAAACGTTTCCCCTGAGATGGTAATCAGCCTCATCAGCAGGGAATGGGGGAAAGGGCATTTGTTTCCCTGACAAAATGTCCCACATTCAGATGGCTGTAACCTGGGAATATTGCAGCCTTTGGTGAAGATGTTAGTACTTATCTGTAGGTTGCTGGAAAAAACACTGACATTTGCTGAGTAGATAATGGTGTGCACAAGCACTGATGTGCTTTCCTGTACTGGCAGGTCTTGCAGGCACTGGAACAAGAGGATTTGGCAGAAGGTGATGCTCAGAACAGCACCAAGGTCCTGTTCCCACCCCAGAAGGGCAGATCACATGTGCTACCAAATATTAAACATTCAGGTCAGTAGTGCTACAACAGGTCTGGTCCTTAAGGTAAGTTAAACAAACGAGATCCACCTTTCATTTGCAAAATTTTATCTTAATTACCCAGTCTGAGGAGCAGAGTGCATGGACTATTTCAGGGTTCAGATTTCAGCATGAATTTGATGCAGAGCGGGTGAGCCTGGTAGAAAGGAAGGCATGGCTTTGCAGCTCCACGCTGGACTCCTCCAGGTAACTCCTGCCTTAGTTGGCTGAGTGCAGTGCAGGTAACTTTGATGTGCAACATTTAAATGCAAAAACTAACTGCAGGCATTGAAATCCTGCTGCAGAGACAGATTGTTGTAACATGTTGGCACAAAAAGATAATGCCTTGGTGCAAGGCTCTATTTTTTCAGTTTTTTTGCCTCTCCAATGTTCTTATGACTCTTACAGCTCTAAATCTGTTTCTCATCTTTGGATGCAATATTGGAAGCAATAAATAAGACTGCTTTAGCACTCTGTTAAAGTCAGGAGTGATTATGAGGTGCTGAATCAGGCTCTAAGGGGAGGAACAGCTTGTGTTCATGTAAATCAAACGTGCCTCCTGCACAGCAGCCACTGGCTGCAGCTGCACACTGCCCCTATCAAATGTGTATCAGACTCATGTCTGATGTTACATTTGACTGCACTTGTAAAGAAGCTTTCCTGGCTGGGGACTGGTTGTACTCTCACCAATTTCAGAAGATTGATAAAGCACATCTCTGTTATTACCAGATACAACCAGAAGCCATGAGTTCCCAAACTGGCCCACCTTCCTTCTGGAGGAAACACTCTTACCGTCTCTTCACCAGCACTGGGATATGTCCTTTTATACTTCATGAATTTATGTTGATATTTTGATATTTCATGAGTCAGGGAAGAGTAAAGGTTTTATTCCCTTAGTGGCAGGAGTTTGGGCCACCTGACCCAGGTGACCACATCACCCTCCCCTTCAACTTCAGTCACTGCTAGTCCTAGTTAACAGCAAACAGGGTGAAACACTTCCAAGCAGCAGATATTTCCCCCCACCCAAAACCCTTCTCAGCCCCAACACCCACCTCCTGGATATCTCCCTGTGGATCTGAGCTAATGACTTGTGCCCAGGTGCTGTGGGCAGGGAGCCCACTCCTGCTCCGTGCTGTCCACCGAGCTGCTTGTCATCTCTTAGAGTATTTATAAACTGCCTGTGACACATTCACTGTGGGTATTGGCTTTCACAGGAGCCATATGCCACTTTAAAGGACAAAATATAATCTTTAGGGAAAAAAAAACCCAAGCAACTCCACGCACTTCCTAATCATTCTTATTCATCCAAGCCATCCATTTATTGCCTCCCATTCATTTCTGTTTTTAATGACTCAGCTTGTGATTTCTTGCTTACATTGAATCAGTCCCAATGCTATTATCTCCCCACCATAGATTTCCTCATTTTTGCTGCAAGATTTCAACTCTCTTTTTTTTCTCACTGTACAGCTGGTTCCAGAGTGCCAACATTACCGAGTCAACGCAGCACAAGTAGCAAGGCAATGAAAGCATATGATTTGTATTTCCTGATGAAATCTGTAAAGCCTCCCCCCTAATATTTAGCATTAAATCAATAGTAAAATTTACAAGCTTTTCATCAGGTGATCATTTAAAAAGTCACAGGACCAATTAAAAACATTTTGCATTTCTGCCAAAGACTGCTATTAGATTAATGTTACAAATTAACTCATAACTGACATGCAAAATAATCCCATTTGCTGAAACATGCCCAATAATAGTTAATCTTCCCTCTCACGCTATGGTTTTTGACTTTTATATGGTATTATTGTGGCAAATAACATCTATTCATAACTTCAGCTTTCCATAGCTGAGCACAGTTTATGAGCAGACTTAATAATTTTTTCAATTCTATGGCATACATTGAGATATTTCCTAAGAAACAGGTATAGGGAATTAAAAATTATTAGAAAGTGTACTGGAAACTGGGGAGGAGCAACCCCAGGTGATGCTCGGTGGCTGCCACAGGTTTCCTTTATTTTCCTCAATTTGTGAGAGAGACTGACCTTACTGAACAAGTACTTTGAATTTGGGAAAGTCCACACCCAAGTACCAAGCTCATGTTACTTCAGAAAGGGACAAAGTCATCTGGGTTTGTACATTTAACTTCTCTTGGTAACACGCACTGAATTCTTCTCAGATAGTTTGGCCTCAGAGGATTAGCAGTATTATTCTCTCATGGTTGATAAACACCATATGGATCAAGTGTAATCCACTGACTGCTTTAGGAATGGGGAAGCCTCCCAGAAGTGAGATAAATCCACATCTCAGTTCTGTGAACAGGGCACTGGTTCAGTTAAAAGGAGATAAAAGTAAGCATGAGATGAGCGAGTTGTTCCCATGCAACACTGAATTGTTTTCCTGACAGCTGAGGAACTTTACCCAGCTCACACCAAGTGTGAACCTTACATTTTTTAGCACGCTTTCAAAAATCATCCCTTTGGTTCAGCAATACAGAGGATGCTGCTACTGCCAGGACCAGGATGGGGACCAGCCTGGAGCCTTTTGTAAGCAATTCCTACGGGAACAGCATGGCCATTCACACATGGGAAAGTTTCAGGAATGAGAAACACACCTAGAGAGCAGCCAGCTGACTGTATACCCAATGCTGTGCTCACCATCAGTGCTGCAGGGACAGCTGGAGGACGGGGGACAAAGCTCCTAGAGGCAGAGGACAATAGGAATACCCTGGCCCACCCCTCATGTCAGAGATGTGTTTTTACATGAGTAAAACTCCTGCTGGAGTCTGAAGCATGGAAGAGAGCACTTGAAACTGGCTTTCAATTATCACATGACCAAGGATATATTTATAATTAAATAAATTCCAAATAGTAAAGCTTAGCACTCACAAATCCTTCGTATGTTTCCAAGTGCTTTCCATTCGCTGGCAAATTAATGCAATAATACATAAAAAACCAAGAAGGTGGCTTGGATAATTTTCAATTAGCCACTCAAAAATGCTTTGAAGATAAATCCAGCCAGATTTTCTGAGCCTACTTATTTGTTCCAGCTTATCTGTGCAAGTACAATTGGAGGCAGCTGCCTCAGACCATCTTTAAAAACTTGCAGTGCCAACATACGAAGGAGATTTAACTGGGACACTACGTTTTGCCATAGCAAAGATTAGCCAGACAAAAAGGTCTTTTATGCTATAACACCTAACTCCCTCTCCCTAATGTCACTCTTGCTTTAATATCTTTTTCCTACCCATAAGTTTGACCAATGCTGAAAAAGTTTTCATGCTGGCACAGCCCTGCACTTTCCACTACCGTCACTGTCCACGGAGCATTTTCCCAACACCTAGCCCTGCCCACTGCATGGTGTTATTTTCCAACATTTAGATTCTTACAACCCATTTAAGAATGTTCAATATTTAGGATATTGTTTCTGCATGAGCAATTAGTCAGCTCTTACCAGGAGTTCCTATACTTGTCCCTTCTTTGTTTCCATGCAGAAGATGCAGACTCAGGCAAATCCTTTACGATACGAGAAATTAAACAAAATGAGCCAAACCCAAATGCAGAATGTGAGACACGTGATTCTTTGGTGCTTCTAAAGATAGAAGCAATAAAAATGCAAAAAAATGCAACATCCTGTGTGACACAACACAAGGATGCTGTGTTCAGAATAGATATATTTGAATAATTTTGTCAACTACCATGGTTTACATAAACTTAATCTTGTTCATCCTTATGGCTTGATCAGTATGAAGGTAAAGAAAAAGAAAAAAAAAGGGAAAACCAGATGAAATGATACCATGAAACTACCTAGAACTCATTTTTTCCTAAGACATGATTGCCTTCCAACCCTCCTTTGTACTAAGTGGACTTTACGGGGAAAATCATGTACCACAAGGTCATATTGCTCTTCCAGGCAAAGACAGTCTTTATCTTGAGCTTCCTATGACAAGTTCTCCTGCTCAACCCTATGTTGGTGGGCTGGATGCCCACCCATTCTTCACTCAAGCCAGACAACACAGAGCTGAAGGGAGCACGTGAGAAGAACTAAAAGCGTCACAGAAAAAGAAACTTGCTGATCATCTGATCCCCTGCAACACTCACACTGGCACTAAGCACAGGAGTCCATGACATGGGCACGTGGAGACACAGAATCTACAGGAAGGATTCAGCTGAGGGAAGAGTATTTCCCACACAAGCCCACTTTTTTTTTTTCCAGATCAGCAAGTAATAGCTTCCCCAAACAGCCCCTGGAGCACAAGCTCACTGGTGCACACCGCTTAGCCTGGATCTTGTTTAACATTCAGAGATGCTCTCTAATCCTCTTAGGTATTAGTCTTGAGATTCCTGCCAAGCACAGGAACAGCAGAGCCTCCCAGACAGCACTTAAATGAACTCACTGCTTGAAATGTACAATACTTCAAAATACAGTAGAACTCCAGCTGTTCCGTTTTGGTTAACCTCAGATTAGCACCTGGGAAGTCACTCTGGCATGAAAAATGCAAAATTAAATCACCTCGATTTCTGCCTCTCAGGTAACTCCCTAGGAAGTCATTCTGCTCTAGGACTGCAATTTTTCTCCCTTAATGACTTGTTTAAAGCTAAGTACCTAATCTGAGTTAGACATTCCTATTGTCTCTCTGTTGCCTGTTGCAAGGAGATCATCACATCTACAGCCCTCACACCAGAGAATCACAGAACGGTTTGGGTTGGAAGACCACTTAAAGACCATCTACTTTCAACACCCCTGCCATGGGCAGGGACAGCTTCCACTAGACCAGGTTGCCCAAAGCCCATCCAACCTGGCCTTGAACAGTTCCAGGGATGGGGCAGCCACAGCTTCTCTGGGCAATTTGTACCAATGCCTCACCACCCTCACAGGGAAGAATTTGTTCCTCATACCTAACCTAAACATGCTCTCTTTCAGTTTGAAACCATTCCCAGTCGTCCTATCACTACATGCCCTCATAAAAAGTCCTTCTCCATCTTCCTTTAGGTGCTGCAAGGGGCTCCAAGATCCCCCTGGAGCCATGTTTTCTTTAGGCTGAACAACCCCAGCTCTCTCAGCCTGTGTTCACAGCAGAGGTGCTCCAGCCCTCAGCCCTCTCCCCTGTTTCCACAATCACTATTTTGTGTTGCTAAATCACCCA